CAAAAGAGAAGGCTGAGGGGGGATCTTGTGGCCTGTTATAAACTAGTCAGGGGGGAATCAGCAGGCATTGGGGGAGTCACTGTTCCCCCGAGCACCGCCAGGAGTGACCAGGAATAACAGTCACAAGCTGGCAGAGGGTAGGTTTAGGTTAGACATCAGGAGGTGCTATTTCACGGTCAGGGCGGCTAGGGTCTGGAACCAACTTCCAAGAGAGGCTCCTACCCTGGGGGTTTTTAAGAGGAAGTTAGATGAACACCTTGCTGGGGTCGTTTGACCCCAGTACTCTTTCCTGCCATGGCAGGGGGTCGGACTAGATGATCTGCTAAGGTCCCTTCTGACCCTAGAAACTATGAAACTATGAAACTATGAAATTACTTGCAAAGTGTAGAACTGGCATTGACTTAATTTGTTCAGTCAGAATTCTTTCCCTGCTTTTTTATATAGGATATGTGGATTCAAATTAAGATATTTCATCAAAGACTTACAAGAGTTCTCCCCCTCTGTTCCTTATACAGCTTTAAATAAAGGATCAGACTTTGGCTTGTCTGACACTACATAGGTATGTTCTCTTTTCTCTCTTAACTCTTCTGATCCCGCTTTCTGGTCAGTTGGAATTCATTGCCCACTTCACAATGGTAGTCTTTCCTACAATTTTATTTTTCATTGTTTTTTTTTATATTTGGTGTACTAGTTAGAGGAAGTCCAATGCATATAGGACAGTCCTTGAAGTCAGATCTGCTTCTAGATGATGGCAACAGAAAAACTCTCTGAAGCAGGTACACAGTGAGTTCTACAGAGTATATAAATTACTGGCAACTTTAAAGCTATTGATTCTAGTAACTGTCTCACACTTACTATTAAGTAACCTTGTTTAACATAGTTTCTCAGACTGACTACTAAAGACAATACTAACGATAGTGCAAGTCCTTACCTTACCTTAGGCAGGACTTGCATTAAAGTTAGTATTTGGATACAGATTCGTATTTTCCATTTCATTAAAGTTGTTATAACATTTTTAATGTTCAAGACTATTTCCTTAGAAACTCTGTAACAGTATACACTCAGCCAAAATGGCTGCTCCAAGCAAAAAATAACCTGGGAACAACTAGGGTTAAATCACTCCCAGGACAGTGTCTCCTGGGAATGTGAACACCTACACACATTCTCTTCTGAGAGAAGCTATGGCAGAGTCCTACAGCTTTGCTCCCTTCCCTCCAGGAGACAGTGTTTCACTTTCTGGACTTGCTGCTTCATCTGAGCAGTGAATTGAACATGACCCCTTCTCAATCCTAACATTGTACTGCAGGGAGACACAGGCAGTGTGGGTCAGCCAATCAAGGGTACCCTGTACACTCATGCCATTCTGCTTCAAGACTGAGGAAGCCTGAAGATCATGCTGAAATGCATGCACAACATAAGCCTAGCTGTTCGGTGTCAGCACTGCAAGCTCTCTCCTCTTCAGGAGCTCAGCATTCAAATGTCTGTTTGTGCATCTCTGGGTAGGTCTTCTATCAGAAGAACAAGGGAAGCATATACCCAATGGAAGGGAGAGGCCATCACTAAGGAGAATTATACCTCCATTGTTCGAGATTGTAGGGGGGTTGTTAGGAAGGCTAAGGCACAGATAGAACTGGGACTAGCGACCCGGATCAATGATAACAAGAAGTCCTTTTTTAAATACAGAGGGGGTAAAAAGAAGATACCAAGTAACGTGGGGCCTCTGCAGGACATGCTTGGTAATCTGGTGGTAGCACCAGGTGACAAAGCTAATCTCTTTAACAGTTTCTTTTCTTCCATTTTTCTGAGCAGGGACAGGGACATCCCCCACACTGAGAATCTGGACAGACCCAGGGGAGGCACAACAAGGACCTAGTCAGGGAACTTCTGGGGGGACTAGACATGTTCAAATCAGCAGGTCCTGACGATCTCCACCCCAGAGTGCTGAGGTAATTGGCAGAGGTCATTGCAAATACCCTAGCACAGCTTTACAAGCATTCATGGTGCTCTGGTGAGGTGCCACAGGACTGGAAAAGGGCCAATGTGGTCCTCATTTTCAAAAAAGGGAGGAAAGTGGACCCAGGAAACTATAGGCCCATTAGTCTTACCTCAGTCCTGGGGAAGCTCTTTGAGAAAATTATCCAGAAGCACATCTGAAAGGGACCAGCAGGCGAGATTATGCTTAGAGGCAATCAGCATGGGTTCATTAGAGGCAGGTCTGGTCAGACCAACCTGGTTGCCTTCTATGACCAGGTCACAAAAGCCCTGGATGCAGGTGCCGCTGTGGACGTAGTCTTTCTGGACTTTAGGAAGGCCTTCAACACTGTCTTTCACCCCATCCTCATTAAAAAATTAGGCAACTGTGGTGTCAACGTCTACACAGTCAGATGGGTCACATATTGGCTGGAGGGCCGTACCCAGAGAGTGGTGGTGGATGGGTCATTTTTGACCTGGAGGGAAGTGGGCAGTGGGGTGCCTCAGGGCTCAGTCCTCAGGCCCCCACTGTTCATCGGCGAGTTGGACAAGGGGGTGAAAAGCACCCTTTTCAAGTTTGCAGATGACATGAAGATGTGAGGAGAAGTGAGCATGCTAGAAGAGAGGGACAGGCTACAACTAGATCTGGACAGGTTACAGAGGAGGACAGATGAGAATAGGATGGGTTTCAATATGGACAAGTACAAGGTGCTGCACCTGGGGAGGAAAAACCAGCAGCATACCTACAGGCTGGGGAACTCCCTTCTTGTCAGCATAGAGGCAGAAAAGGATCTTGGAGTCAGTATTGATCCCAAGA